ACTTTGGTAGTCTACACAAACCTTTACAACGCTCGCTATACATGTCAAACTCGAAGTATTTATTATTTCAAAATTATGCGAGATAAAATCTTGTCTGAATTTAATAAATTTTGCAATGACAAGGTGAGTTAAAATAGCTTTGCTTCCTAAATCATTAATAAATGATTAAATATTAGAAAAATCAACAGGAAGCATGAATGAATTAATAAAAGCAATTAAATATGCTCATTCGCAAGTTTATGGAGATCCACGACTAACACCTTTAAAAAAAAATTTTTAACAGGCACTTTACAAAGATTACAAATTTTAATACATGTCGAGTAAAGTAATTGGGTTGTCATTAATAGCTGTGTGTAAACGATACATCCGATATTAAAAAGTTTCTTCTTTTTTTATCAATTTGTGCCAAATTCACATTGAAGTAGTTCATAGGATTTTTAAAAATCTTTTTGATATGAATGAATCTTAATTTCACTGCTTTTAATTCCCTTTTTTGCATTTCTATGTTTGTCTCTTTTTTCCGGGTCAAACCTGCCGTGTTATGGAATCTTTAATTAAAATATATTCATTTTTATGACATTCAAGCATCCAACAAATATTTTTAGTTGTTCTTAAGAAAGTGCCAATAATTAATTTTAAATAAATTTTGAGCTAATTAGAAATCAGTTTTTGACAAATAGATACTAACAAAAACAAATTAATTTCCATTTTTTTTCAAAATTATTATTTTTTAGTAGTATTCGCCTGTTAATCGAGCGAGCCGAATTATTGTGATAAGATAAGCAAGTATTCGCTGACAAAATTGACCGATTCTTGCTAATTCATTAGAAAAGTTTTTTTCAAAGAAAGTTTGAAGAGCGATTTGCGGAAATATTTCCTCATTCTTCTTATCTTTATAATATTTTGATATCTTATCAGTTGATGATTTCACATTCGTGATATGAAATTTTTTAGTTCTTGTTTAGTGCATTTCCAGACATCGAACAATTCAAAATAATTTTTATTTGCACAATTTTTGTCATTATGGAATTAGTTTGTGAATTTAGATATTCGTATAGCGATGCAATTGAGAGAATAAATTACACGAGTTGTATTTATACATCTTCAATAACGCAGCCAAACACGATCATTCAAAAAATTAATGGAAAACATTTGGATGGAAAAAGTGACAAAGATGTCGAAGGGATTTGTTTTACGAACACAACGGTCAACTACTTCCCTCAAGGATTGAACAAAATTTTTCCTAATTTGAAAACTGTTCAAGTTCATAATTGTGGATTGAAATCAATAACACGAAGAGATTTGATAGGACTAGAAAATATTCAAGAACTATCGTGTTATCACAACAAAATCACTTCACTTCCAGATAATCTGTTTAGAAATATGAAGAAACTTATTGACATTTCATTCTTCGACAATGAATTGCATTGCATGTCTTCAGAACTTCTCATGCCAATATTGAAAAATGATTTAAAATTCGTAGACTTTCGTGAGAATCGTTCCATTGATGTTGCTTATTGTCACTCAATTTTTAAGCAAGATGTATATGGAAATAAAATTGATTCTATATACAATTTGATGGCAATGATTGATGAGAAATGTGATGAACCAATGAAGGATGAACAGGCACAAACAAACACACAACAGAAGGATTATAAAACTGAAGATTTCAAGGAATTTTGGACGACTGGACGTTTCTCGGACATCACGATTGTCACTGACACTGAAAAATTCAAAGTACACAAAGTTGTCTTAGCTGTTCAGAGTTCAGTTTTCACTTCAATTTTTGAAGATAAGATGAAAGATCGACCATCTGATGAATTTAAAATGAAAAACATAAATTCAGAAGTTGTGAAGATTTTTCTGAAATTCTTCTACACAGATGAAGTCAAAAAAGAAGAAAATTCAAATCTGCCGGAACTTTTCTCTCTCGCAACAAAGTTCAAAGTGGAGAATTTAATGTCAGTTGTTGAGAAGATGATCATCAATAATCTAAACGTTGACAATGCCATTGAAATATTTGAACTTGCGTGTCGCTTTAATTGTGATGGGATGAAAACTTCGGCATTTAAAGTCATTCAATCGATGATTGATAAACCATTGAAAGACGATCTGATCAACCAACCAGAAGTTTTAAAAGAACTTGTTGAAGCTAAAAGAAAATTTGATTCTATGGTGAAAAAATACGAAAATCTTTGAATTAAAAAA